CTTTCCCAAAATGTTTAAAGATCCATTTGAGGGGAGCACGTATATCTGAAGATACCGGAAAAAAATACCGATCGAGAGACGATTGTTAGTTGCGCCGTGCTGACCATCAGCTTTGTGCTGTAAACACGAAGCTGGAGGTGACTACTTCTGAATTTCTGATGGTCGTGTTGGTCAGATTCCGTAGACGTACGACGTGAGACCGTGTAAGGCATGAGCTAGTACTGTGAGTTGGTCTTTTGTCAAGAGTCAAGACGTGCTTACATGCTCCGTGCATGTCAAATGATCAAAGGAGTAATCATTACGGCCCAAGATCAAAATAAATCGCCTAAACTCGACACGGAGAGAAATGCTGCGGAACCATATAGTAATGGCGAAGATCACAGACTTGATGTGGATGCGCACCTAAGTGAAAGATCCTTGCTTATTTGGATATTGCCAAAGTAGTCAGATCCGTGCACATTAATTAGATCATCTATATTTATTAGGGTGTGTTTAAAAAAACAAAATTTCATATGAAGCAGAAGCACTTATTCTTGTGGAACTCCTAAATATGAATGAGGCATAAATAAATGGTTCAATCTATTATATGGATTTATATGGCACAGTCCACCCGACACCATGATCGTCCCGATAGTCTCATTGTGAATGTTACCCCATCATTGTTCATAGAACCCCCGCCGTGGTCTATAGCGTAGCATACATATTATCACGAAGGTATGCTTTCAAAAGAAAAAAACTAAACTAAACATATTTGGTTCTTGATTCTGAAAAGTTGATACGGAGTAACGGTATGGAAGAAGTTTAATTTTTGGCCATCGAACTATTACCCGAGTCTGATTTCAGACTTCAAACTTCAAAACTAAATAATTTTAGCCATCCAACTATTGCCGGACAACTTTGTCCATCCACTTGTTCCAAAGGTTGTTTTGCCTATATACATGTTATTATAAAAATCATAAAAACATGGTTAAATCTATAAACATTCATAGCTAATTTATTTCAAATAAAAAACAGAAAACTATTACTATTTTTTAAAAGTATAATGTATCTATTGGTGCTCTATTTAGAGTTATTTGGACAAAACTTATTCATATCGCTAATGTTTTATTGCTCGTGGTCATGATCGTTATTCATTTAAATTATCGTTTTGCACTATATCAAATCAGGAGCTCAACCAAAAGGACCTAATGGATTCTGAGTTATGGAATATCTCAAAGGTGATGTCAACTTTAAGCCATGCTCCAACAGATACGTATCCTATTTACACATTGCCTGGCTTATGCTTAACTTATTTTTTATTGCTTGATTAGGCAGTAGGTTTCAAATAAGACACGGGCTCAAACATCATGAAATCAATATAAAGTAAACCACAAAATGATAGTTCCAATAAATAATGACCACGACTATAAGCAAGAAAACACTAGGATCCGGAAAACTAAGAAGAAAAACTCTAAAGGGAGTATCAATAGATTATATATATATATATATATATATATATATATATATATATATATATATATATATATATATATATATATATACACACACACACATACGTACTGTTCTGTAGCTGGCCGCAGAATAAGTTATTATGTGGCCACTTTGAGTTACGATAATCTCCTACAACCAAAAAGAATAAAACGTGTATATTTTTTGGTACGACATTTATTTTGGTTCGTCCGTCTGCCCACGTCTGCGATCCCATGACATTTCCCGCATGTTACATGTTAATCTTAATTACTGATTGATCGTGTCATTCTCCTTGATTGAATATTGTCTGTCATGTGATAGAGAAATCACGATAAAATAGGAAGTAGAAAATTATTGTGCTATCCATATACATATTGCATGTTTGCATGCACCAGCATACATGGCAACGAGCAAAAGGAAAGAGAATTAACACAGAAGGAAAGAGAATTAAGACAAAATGAACCTCTTTGCATCTCTTGACTATCTGAGTAAGTACAAGTTAGTACTGCAAAGGCTCAGAAAAGCTGCTGAGAAGGCCAAGGTTGAGTTTTCCTCCACTATGCATACTAAAACCTATGTCCCTGTTTATCATTGCCGATGCTTTTGATGCAAAACAATTCAACATTACCATGATCAGATATAAGTTTGGGTCTCTTGTGAGCAATCTTATAGATGGACTCTCATCCTTTATGTGATCTGCCTCAAGGATATTGGTAGGACGATGGATCCATGTTGAAATATCGTACCAAAAAGTGTTCATGTTTTGTCCACGATTTATTTCCCATGAATACATGCGGGTACTATGATAACACTAACTACACCAAATGAAAGATTAGAGAGAATTTGCATTGCCTCCAGAAGGATTTATTTATTAAGTTCTTTGGACTCTACAGGTAGTTTTGAAATATCTGTTTGCATGTCTTACCTCGTATCCTAATTCAAAATTTTGTAGTTTAATTAGAATATTTAGGTGATTGTATATATATAATATTCACTACAAGAATAATCTATGCATGATCTTCTTGAAAGATTTATGCAGTGTAAAGACATCTTCGTTTTTCATGCATGCCCGTGCTAACGCTACGATAAAAATAAAACTCATGCTCAAAGTCAAAGAGATAAATTATGGATGCTTGAATTTTATCATCCATTATCTACCGACGTGCCTATAAAATAGACTGAATAAACAATTAAATATTGATAGAAAACTAAATTAATGAAAGGATCATTGCAAGACATCAATCATCTCATAGCTTCGGACAATATCGCAAAGCTACTAAAAACTGTAACCGTGCCCTCACCTCAAACATTGTCTAGATAAATGGATTACAATGAAAGAAATGGATATCGGAGATTTCTTCCTGCCAATATAAAACATTATCTTAGTCGCATCACGGAAAGGTCTATAAAGTAGAGTTTGTGAGCCTGCGACGCCGCGCACTCTGTGACTGTATTAAATTCATAAACTTTGCTTTTTGGATTAAATGTCACTTTAACGTTAGTATTTAATTTTTACAGTATTGTTATCTTATCGTGCGATCCGTGTGTTTTTAGTATAAATTATTAGTTATCCCGTAGCACGTACGGACACGCTACCTAGTTACTATACTAATTTACGAGATTATGGTAACTCCCTCATAAGTGATTTACTATAGTATTATGGTAAGTATCATCTTGAATTATAGTAACCCATGTATCGTAAATGTGTATTGTTATTATCGTAAATTGGTACAAACATTATCGTAAATCAAGATGGCCATAGAATGACTATATATATATATATGTGTGTGTTTGTGCGCGCACGCGCGGTATTTGAAACCAAATTGAGGACCAAAGTTGTCTGGTTTTGATAGTTTGATGGCTAACTATATCAGTTTTTGGAGTTTAACAAAATCGGACCGGAGCAATAGTTCAATAGCTACAAATTGACTTCTTCCTATCAGGATAATAGTTTAGTTGTACTCAAACTGTGGTAGTAGCAACAAAACATAAATATTGGACCAGTTGTAGTAGCTTATTTTTTGTGTGAACCAAATTTTATTGGGTTAGATAACTAAATTTAACCAGAGAAGAAATTACTCATCATTGAAAAGTGTTGTAAACTATAAAGTATCACCTACTGTGACCATGACGTGTAGGATCAGGTTCTAAAAGTTATGTCCAGATTTAATTTCTTGACGATTATGAAAATCTTATTATTAGAAAATGAACATATATATTTTAAACCAGAGGGAGCACATTTTGATATGATTTTCAACTTGCGAACCGATGTAGCTCAGCTGGTCTAGGTTCTTTGTACTTATGTTCAAGTCATTGACTTGACGCGGGTGCTCACATTTTTTTTAGATTTATTTTAGGAATTAAGGACATTATTCTTTAAGTGGTAAGCGACGTGTACCAGTGCTCATATGTTTTTTTAGATTTATTTTAGAATTTAAGGACATTATTCTTTAAGTGGTAAGCGACGTGGACCAGTGCTCATATGGTTTTTAGATTTATTTTAGGATATAACTACGTTATTTTGCTTTCAGTGCTAATCGACGCACCTCGTTGATTTTTTGTGATGGGAGATGGGAATCTGAGATGCAGTTTTACTCGGAATAGATGACCACTTAATTATTCCGCAGGTACATTGGTGAGGTTCCTCGGCATTGCGAATTAAAGAAGTGTACTATTTTTCAAAGAATCCAAATAAGTATACTTGATCATATGGAGGAGATACAAATGAGTAAGGCCAATTTCAATAGGAGTTTTAAGGGCGTTAAATATGCTGATATGACACTGTATTGATGAATAGAGATAATAAAAGTTTTATGGGAGTATAGAGAGTTTCATATCTGCACTGTTTCTAAAATATGGGTGTATTGAAAACTGGGACATGAAACTCCCACTAACCTAAAGAGATCAAATGTTATTTACGAGTAACATCCAAATTATTAATCCATACATGCATTGAGTAATGATCAAATTAGATGGTATACTGAAATATATTACAGCAAAAGCAACTGAACAGCAGCAAAACTAGAATGATCTCTTAAAGTGAACTTCATAAATTTGGATGAGCTTGCATTAGTGCTCCTTCTGTTAACTTCTGATTATATCCTCGTAGACCTCCCGGACCTTTGCAAAGAAAGCATCCCTGAAATACATTGCAGTCGTTTGAGCACCTAACATCTTTAACCAAAGGAACGAAATCAAAGAAATTTATGCATGATAGGCAAAACCTACAATATAAACGTGTCAAATATATGTAGAGCAACTTATTGATACAGCCAGCTTGGAAGTCGTTACAGAACTCTTTGTTACAGGGGCACGCAGCATGCTGGATAAAATTATTTGGATCATTTTATCCGATGGCTGACATGATTATTCTGGAGCTAGAAATGTTCAGGACAGGCTATACATATTGCTTACTGGCAAATAATTAGTTGATTAGCATTTTCTGTCTGGCAAATAATTAGTTGATTAGCGTTTTCTGTCTTTGCATATGCAAAATTTTGCACACTGAATAAAATAGTCGTACTGTTTCATTACCTGTCAGACTTGAATAGCAAGTTCTGGTACGCGAACCACTGCATCATCAGAAAAACATATATGTCAAAAGGTGGAAATTCAGTAGATAAACGGTAGAAAATTCAGGCATGACAACCGAAAGATTCTGAACATTGTAGTGAGGCCTCAATGCGAAATCCATCCATATTATGCATCATCAAGAGCTACTATGATCTGAAGTTTTACTCAGGTGTGGTGGATCTTCTTACCCCACTGTATCCAATTCCAACAGCCTCCATCAGACCTGGAATCACGGGGAGCTTATCGATTGCCTGCGAGGTAAAGGTAACACCAAATACAAAACACTGCTCGTTATCCACGCAGACAGAGGATTCAGGAAGTTCAGTCGAAAAGGATGAGAACGTTCAGTACCGACACTACTCCACCGGCGCTCCACATGCCGAGCGTGGCGGCGACGGCGAGCGTGGTCACCGCGTACTTGTCCTCGATCCTGTCCCACTGCACCACGCACGCAGGCAGCAACGAGAGAAGACTTGTCATCGTGCTGCGACCAACCTACGAACGAGTACATACAGATTGAAAGGCACGACGTGCCATGTCGCCTACCTCCTGTTTCAACGCGTTGACGAACTCGGTGAGCTCCTCGTTGTCATCCACAGGCGACGCGGTCGGCTCCCCCGCGGCCATGGCCACCACGTTCCTCGCCAGCCGCTTGCCTGTACAGACAGAGATGCGCGTCCGCCGTCCGCGCACGCAGGTAAGAACAACGACGAGGCGTGCTACGAATCGAAAGAACTAACCAACATCGTGCTACACTCACAGAAGGACGCGGCCCGGGTCTGGCCCTGCGCCGCGAGTCTGAGGCCGGGCACTGGCGGCAGCGCGGGCAGCCCAAGCCAGACGGAGCGTGCGGCGGCCTTGCTGTGGCCCTTCGCGACGGGCGCGGCGGCGGGGCTCCACACGCCCGTGGCAGCAGGGACCATGGCGGTGTGGGTCGGTCTTACACGGCGCGCGCAGTGAACTGTGGACTGGTCGGTGTCACCCGGCCGGGGGTGACGTCGCTGCGCGCTGCGGGAGGCGTTAGGCGTGGGGCACGTCGGCGGTAGCAGCGGGCGGCTGTGCTGGGGGCTGGGGCGCGCGCGGATAAAGTTGGGCAGGCGCCACACGTTCCCCGGGGGAAATGATAAGATGGGGTTGGGCCGGTACGCGTGTGGTGCGGCCGTCCGCCGTCTCCGTCGACCTGCGTCGCGGTGCCGGATACGAGGTACGGGCAATGCCTGACCAATCGCGCGGCTGCCGCGTGTAAATGTCCTTCACCTTTTACTCCGCGTCTTTTGTCCGCCTGGCCCTGGCGCCGCCGGCTTTGTGCTGCGGACGGCAACGGATGAATTGTGAAACAACGGTGATTTGGGAGGGGAAGCGAGAGACTGGGCGGGCCGTCTGAGCCGTCATTCCAAGCCACATCCTAGTTCGGAGAAGAAATGATCTGCTCGGCCCCTTCTTCTGGAAAAAAATTGCGTGACCCAGACTCCCTGCCGTCTATGTGGAGATCCGTAGAATCCGACGCTCGCGCCCATCTGCGGGAGCCGAGCGCCCGAGCCGCGTTTTCCGAACCGAGCGACGTGCGTGCCGAGGTGAACCAGGCGGCCATCCGATCTCCACGTGGCAAGCATCGGGAGGAGGTGTGCAGGGAGCGTGGGTGCAGCCAGACTGCACCAATTTTTTTTCCCTTCTTGGGGCTTCCAGAGAAAGTTGCACATAGTAGCTCCGGAACTTAGTAGGAGCAACTTGAGCGGACCTCTCTCTCATCTGGACTTGTAGACCTCGACTTTTATTTGAGAGTCCAAACTGCAAAAGTCTATTTAACCAGGTGTGTGGGCTATGCGCCAGCATAAGTGGCCACTGAAAAAGATGGACTTGGGAGCTGTTGGAATATATAGCCTTTGAAATAGAGCATTTGGAAAATAGCCAATACAACCATAGCCATTGGAAAGTGGCCACTGAAAAAGAGACGTTGAAAAATATTGCCATTGAAAAATATAACGTTGCAAAAAATGACCGCTCGAAATGTAACATTTGAGAATAACATAGTTTACACTTAAAGTATATATGGGCATGTAGCCCGTGGCACGATGGCCCCCGCACGAAGCCCGTATTTTTGGCCCGGCCCAAGCACGGCTCGCCCTGGTATTGTGCGGGCCCGGGCCGGCACGGCCTGATGCACCAGGCCATGCCTGGGCCGCACTTCAGGCACGTGGGCTGGCACGGCACGTCTCGTATTTTAGTGGCCGGCCCGGTGGCTACTGTAGCATAGTGGCCTGCTAACAGCTAGTGCCGGTCCTATGATTTCAAGGGCACTCTGACGATATCGTCGCAACGGTCCCTCTTGACCATGTATAAAATCTTATAATATATAGACATTAATTTTACTTGCAAAACAAAAGCAAATTCAATAACATATTTTTAATTTAACATGTCTGATAATTATCGAGGAATAATATAGATTAAGCAATATATTTGTATATGTATGATAATTATCGAGGAACAATATAGATTAAAAAAATAATATATTCGTTTTCTTTTCTCACCATGACAAATGTTTCTTAGGTAACGTTCTAAAATTCTAACACCTAAATTAGAAGAAAAATATGACTATATGGGTACAAAGTACTAGAAGTATGGAATACTATACAAATAATTAATTTGGATTAAAAATAAAAAGAAAAAAAATACCTTAGGCCTAAACAACTGATCGGTGATCACAATTTGTAAGAAGCCAAGAATCAAGATGTCGTCGTCGTGGAGCCCTGCCTGGTCGCCGTCCTCGTGCGCCGTGTCCGTGTCTCCGGTAGTCTAGCTCTTCACGGCGGCGCGTCTCACCAGCTCCGCGTGTGTAAGGCGCACGTCGCGAACTCACGATCAGAGTGTGCTGTGTGCAGCGTGACTCCTCGACTCCTCTCTACCCGAGGGCCGTGGGGAAAGAAAACTAGGAAAGAAATACCGATGTTGTATTTTTGGGCCGCCTGGCCAGATCTATATCTCTCTTCTCATTAGTTTGCTAATGCCTAATGGATTATACGACCTGGAGGTTTGCATACCTAGGCTTGGGCCCCTCCTCCGCTTGGGCCCTCGGCCGTCGCACCTCGTGCCCTACCCCTAGGGCCGACACTGCTAACAGCCCACTGCCTACTTCTTTCCTATATCCTAACCCTAACTATATTCCCCACCCGACCACACGAAGACCATACCTCCATGACTCTACGAGTTCCTCCCTCCTCCGCACCTCCTCCCTTGCCTCCGCCTCCGCTCTTCCGAGGTCGAGAGCTCCGTGGCTCCTCCTCCCTTCTTCGTGTGGAAGGCGGCGGCGCTCCCTCTCGGCTCCACGCTCCCAGCCCCCAGCAGGCCAGCACCATCGGCGTCCTCCCTCTCTGCTCCACTCCCCCCGGCAGGCAGCTGCAGACCTCCCGGATGGCTAGATCTCAGGCAAGCGCGGCATCATCGAGCTCGCTGTCCGTTGCCGCCAACTGCAAGCGCGCCGGTGAGGCCACCGCAGTCGAAGCCGGTTGCTTCCTCTCCCCCCTCTCTGTGCTGGCATTTGGTGGGCCTCGGGCAGGCCTGACCTACTAAAAAGATCATGCTTATTGGGCTAGCCCGGCATGAAAGTGGCCCGGCAGGCCGTGCCTAGGCCGTCTGTAATACCCTCGGTGTTACACTAAAAATCTTTTGCTAAAACATGTCATGAGCATCATGGTTATGTGGTAGTGTATGTAACATAGTGTGTAAATCAATTTACGTAACTTAAAACGACCTACGGAAATGCATAACACAAAGTTGTTCGTGACGCATGAAATTATCAAGTAACGGTGTTCGCGAATTTTTATTGAGCGAAAACACTATAGAACGAATATACGGAACTTTAGTAAAGTTGGAAGTATGAACTTGGTAGATGGCGATGAAATACCTTCGGTCGAGAAAGTAATTCACTAGCTAGCATATCTAATAGCTCAAAAATCGAAGTTGACGCGAATCCAAGCAAGACTTAACCAAATCTCTTAAGTCGGAAAATAGTTTGACAAGGCCAAGTTTGGCAATTTTTGTAGATGAATCGGGTTAAGGAGTGATGAGGTATTAGGGTTTGCTTTAGTAGCCTAATGTGCCCTCTTGAGTATTGAATAGGTGGTTCGGTGTTTGAAGTAACGAACTTGATTTTTGGGGCGCTTTAAAAATCGTGCAAGGCACGTTTCCGGCCGGTGTCAGCGACTGGGCGCGGTCACCATGCCTCAGCTTGGCGCCACAGCGCTAGTTTGCCCAACGCGCGCGCACACCGCCGCGCAGGCCCTGGCCACCGCTGCCCTGTCTTGTTTGGCCGGCTGGGCCTGCCTCTGGCTGCCGCGATCCGGCTGCACTGCTGGCGCTGCGTTGCTGGCCACTGTCACCCGCTACCATGCTGTTGTTGCCCGTTTCGGCCATCACGCTGTGTGGCTCTGCCGCCTTGTGTTTGCCTGCGCGGGGCTATTGCGCGGGTGGCCGCACTTGGCCTGCTGCGACCAGCACATGGCCTCTGCCCGCACAGCCATGCCACAGCCACCACCGTCACGTCATCGTGCTACCTCGCGCTGTCGTCGTCGTGCCATAGCATGCGCATGTTCCTCTGCACCGCGTCATCACGTCGGGCGCACTGCGCGCGTAGGCGCGCAGCACCCCCGCGTGCCACTGCTCTGCCTGGCGTCCGTGTCCCGCCGAGGCGACACAGCGCCCGCTGCGCGTCATGCCACTGCCTCTACCATCCTTGAACTGCCCATGCGGGCAGCCGTTCCCTGTGGCATCTTTATCCTCTTCCAATTAGTAGCAAGCGCCATGCTGCGCCCCCAGTCACCTCTGCCTTAAATGGCATCGCGCCGGCATCACCGAGCCGCGCCTAAGCCAGCTCGTAGCGCCGGGTCGCTTCTAGAGTAATTGCGCTCACCTGTGACTCGAGTGAGAACCTAGCTACCCACCAAGATCACCCACTGCTGCTGTCGTACCATGTCGAGCCCCAATTTGAAGATTCCCCATCGTCGGTCATCCTTAAGACCGAATGGTGGCGCCCTCACAATTCGCCTCGCACCGTCCACCTCCATCCAATTCCTTGGCACCATGTATTCGCCTTGATCCCCTCCACCCCCCACGCACCTCAGCCCAGCCGCTATCGGCCCGCCTTGGTCGCTGACGCGATAGTGTCACTGCAGAGCGCCGCCGCATCCCACCGTCGCACGTGGCCAGCTCGGTTTGGGGATTTCTCGGCCAAATCACCACCACAACAGCAACAAGGGTATGCTAGGGGTGCTTTAGAGCTAGCTATCTCGTCCTGTGGTGGTTTTGGGTGGTCGCGTCGCCGCCGCGCTTGGCCGCGCGCCGTGGCCACCGCTCCCGCGAGCTCCGCCGCCCTGTAACATCGCCTAGGGTAGGCGCTTGGGATGAGGGTGTTGTTCGGCTCACTAGCGGGGGCAGGGAGAGGCCAGGAAGGCCGGCGTGGCGGCCCAGTGCCGTCGTCTCCGCGCCGGTGCGCGTGGGGTGTGCCCGAGGACCTGGTCGTTGTGAAGATATAATGTTCCGAGGTTTCGATTGCTTAAGTCCAGACTATTGGAATAGTGCTGTGGATTGCGTCTTGATTCAGTATTTGCTCTAGGTCGTTTTCGCAAAATAACAGGCGCGCGCGGGCATCCGCGTCGTGGGCCGGTGCCACGTGGATGGGCCACGTTGGCTGGCCGCATATGCGCGTGCGACGCGGGTGTGGGCCGAGCCACGATGGGCCGCGCAGATGGATTCCGGTTTTTCATTTTTCCAGGGAATTAGTAAATGTTTATTCAAATTAGTTTTGAGCTGATCTTTGTAAAATTATAGTAAATTTTGTACGTGTCCAAAAATAGTGAAACAAAATTTGTTAGGTTCACAAAAATGTTATCTATCTGTTGGTGTAGTTAGTTTACAATTATTTGTGATA